ATAAAAACCATTCACACTCCACGCTGTCGTAATCAACCCCTTCACAATTGTGCTAGGAATGTTGATCAGAATCTGCCATATTATTACGCAGTCCTACTTCCATAGATCGTATCACAATCTCTCTCTTGCTCCGTAAGATCCGTCTGCTCTCTCCCTGGTTCACGTATTTCACTCGACCCCTGCCACCCCTTCTGGGCTACTCGAGGCGTTATTCACCCCCATGCGTCTGGGTGCTTCTATCCTCTTTCTATCTATAATATCAAGTCTATGACATCCTATGCCCTAGTCTCTTGCGTAGCAACCTACAAATGTTGTGGTACTGCTTGGTATTACGGATAAAAAGAGGATATAAGTAGTGGAAGCTAGAGCTAGTTGGCTAACGATGGTCGTAATTTAAGGATCACGTCTATGATAAATACGTCTATGATCATACTTGATCAAAGAGTCCAGATGTAGAATATATATACCACTTTTTAAGGATTTGCTGGTGAGTTTTCTTGACTAGTTAGCTTGAATTTTGTTGTGACGGTGATACCTCGCTCTGATGATGTCCATCATATGACGGACGAAAGCTTAGCACCTTTTTACCAAAATCGAAGGAGATTGCCTCGGAAATAACGTCAGCATGAATATTCCAGTAAAGCCAATCAAAAGCTGGTCAAAAGGAATCTGCTGTCGTCTTTTGGTGGAAGCGAACCTCAAATCTCTTCACCAAACACTTTCACTCGAAATGAAAGTAAGCTAAACAATTATGAAACAAGAGATTCCACTAAACCCAACTTTTCTTTGCATCTATCTGTAAAACCATGTATATCACTTCCTTTGTCCTAGTCTCTTGTGTGCCAACCCACAATTGTCGTGGTTCTACTTGTTTTGATTAGGCTCCATAAAGACGTCTCCTCTTACCTCTGATTGTTCCTTTCTCGTCCCCCTGCGATCTCTTTTCCTAAAATTAAAGATGTTACCTTGATCAAATCGTGTTCTTTTTGCTGATCTTACTGTTGCCTGGTCTTCTCCGAGTTTGTTTAGGCGATATGCAAAGTTTTCACTGATCCTGCCTTCTTCAAGTCTTATGTTCATTAGATTTCTCTCGGTCAGAATATGGATGGCATCTCGGATTGTGCGTTTTCTCGTATTTTCACCCTATGCGGCCAGCATTTCTGTCGATTTAGTGTCTCGTCCGTGCAATGTGTTCCGCTATTTCGGATCTTTCCGTATCCATGTTCCTGCAGAGTCTTTAATGTTCTTTGATTCGTAGGCCGATTTTTATTCCTCTTTCACCAATATACTTCTGCTCACAGTTGCATCAATTAATGCGATAAACTACGGAGCATTCCAGTTTGTCAGTCTTCTCGTGTTGCGTCGGCAGACTGATTAAAAGTGTTTTCTCCACCTTTGTTATCAGCTTGATATTCAATTTCCTAATTAACGGTCGCAATTGTTGGTTCCATTCTAATAAGGAGAGGCGAATCCACTTTTGGTTGTCATCCTGATTTATGATATGATTTTCACTAAATCCAAGTTGTGAGCCAACCCAAAAACGTTGTGGTTCAACATTGAAGAAAATCAAAGAAAGCAGTACCACAACATTTGTGGGTTGCTACGCAAAAAACTAGGACATAGGATGTCAAAGAATTGATATTATAGATAGAAAGGGGATAGAAGCACCCAGAGGCAGGGGAGGGCGAATAACGCCTCGAGTAGCACAAATGAGGGACAGGGGTCTGGTGAAATACGTGCACCAGGGAGAAAGAAGACGGATCTTACGGGGCAAGAGAGAGACTGTGATAAGACCTAGGGAAGGAGGACTGCGTAATAGTATGGCAGACTCTGATCAACATTCCCAAAACAAGGGGGAAGAGGGTGAGAACGACAGCGTGGAGTCTGAAAGGTTTTCATCAATGCCGCTCAAAGGAGCACACCACACTACATCGAAATAAGCACGGTACAACAAATTGTAACAGTGAAGGCGGGATAGGAGGATATAGGAAATGCGAATAGCACAGGGCAGAAGGGGAGATACCACAACTGTTTAGCACACATTTGGCCAAAGGATCGGCTTCACTTTTTTCTTTGGCGAGTTGTTGTGTGGTGCTAAGAATGGCCAGACTCACTGACGATGCCGAATACAATGCCAACGAAACGTCTAAGAATGTACCACGTCCACGATCCGACCTTGGAAATGTCCATACATATAATGGACTCCGGACTAGGTGCGTTCCTCTAAGTCTTCCTACCAATATGATCAAGTTGCGAAAAGAAGGAAAAATAACTTCTATATAATGAAAGGAGACTGCAACCATACAAACGATCACATCATCTCGGTCTTCATATCATCGAAAAAAAGATAATGATGTATAATAAACAGGTAAAATCTCGTAATGATCAAACTTTCGGGACTGCAAAAGTTTTTTATTTATAATGAAATTTCGTCATACCAAATAATGAAAAAGTTCGTTATTATGGTATTCATTATACCGGAAACTGATATATATCCCATCAATTGTAAGCTATGTACTGAAGTAAACTATAAAAAAAATCACTTTGATGAGATCCCCAAGAAGTTGGTTCGCCTCAGAGTATTGCTTTTTCACTTCTTCAAATTGGTCAGCCAGGCCAAGTGAGAACGATTGGAATTGGAGGTTAGTGTACTGACCGCCAGGTATCTCATTTACATACACGTCAGAGTTGCCCGACTTCATAGTAGCAGTGCACTCGAAAGGACCATATAGAGTACGCGCCTGTTCCCAGTAAGCAGAATATTGGTTAATGCGGTGCAAATCTAGACCGGTCGATCTGTAAAGCGGGAAGATTGAGGAAGAAAAGAGGAGAAAGGCGAAGAAGAATTAAATACCGATAAGTTTGGACAAGAATGTGTATCCTATTCTCTTTGAAGAGTTGTAGTGTGGTGATAAGAATTGCAAGAGTCATAGATAATATCGACTACGATGCCAGCAAAACATTTGGGAATGTAGCAACTACACTGCTCGACACTGGGAATTTTCATACATACTATGGAGCTCGGACAAGGTGAGTTTCTCTAGGTCGATCTGAATACACGACCAAGTTGCGAAAACAGGGCCAAACAATTTATATTCAACGAAAGGAGACCGCGAACATATCAAAGGCCAGACCATCTTGCTCTTCACACATTCGATTAGCGTAAATATATTTTCAAAAACGAAATATTATTAATTTTTCGTTTTATAAGAAAGTTTTCGAGACCACCACTATGGCATATAGATATATTTATCCTATTCTGAGTGATAAGGGTGATAAGGTCAATGGCAGTTGAATTTTCCAAATCAGATAAGTAGAATTTACGTTTTCATTAAATTTAATATAATCGTTGTTTCCCAAAATGTTTTCCCATCAACACAAGTTTTATTTAAATCATGGTGGAAAAATTCCTCTAATCACCTCAAGCTAAGCAGTCTGAATACCTCTCATATATATGTATATGATCTACCGGTAGTCGCGAGAAATCTGTTTATAAAACGAAAAATAACTAATATGGTTGATTGCTACAACAGCATCGACAATCCCACTACAGAGTGTGATATGGAAAAATGTCTGATATTTCCATAAGTTCGCATCTGCCCTGTGACCCAAGGGCCCTCATCGCAATGTGGCGTAGTGGTTACCTTCTCAATCCTATACGCCGCACTGTGATCGTTCGACTACCACTTAGGGTGCTGATAAGACCTATGCGAAGTTGAAACTGCAGTACACCCAGG